CTTTATCTATCACAAGCAAAATATATTGAGGATTTCTTGGATAGAGCCGGCATGCAAGACTCCAATACTTATCGTACCCCGATGGCCACATCCCCTATTTTATATAAGCACATGGGTACAAAGCTCCTTGATGATATGGAATACGGAAAACTAGTTGGAGCATTGCAATATATCACAATCACAAGACCTAATATAGTCTTTATTGTCAATAAGCTATGTCAATTCATGCATTCGCCAAGTGACATGCATTGGAAGGCTTTAAAACGTCTCCTTCGATATCTTAAAGGTACCCTTGACTTGGGCTTATCTTTTCCATCAAATTATTCACTTGATATAACTTGCTATGCGAATAGTGATTGGGGTGGTGATATGGATGATAGACGATCTACTAGTGGTTATGGCATTTTCTTAGGTCCTTGTTTGATATCATGGCTTATCAAGAAACAACCAACCATTGCTCGCTCATCGATCGAGAATGAATATAAAGCAATCGCTAGTGCAACTTTGGAGTTCTTGTGGATTAAATCCTTGCTAACTGAACTTGGGTTTCCTATTTCTTCTTGTACCTTGTGGTGTGACAATATTGGTGCTATATATCTCTCATCCAATCCCGTGTTTTATGCAAGAACAAAGCACATAGAATTAGACTATCACTTTGTGCGGGTGCAAGTAGCTAACAAGAATCTGAAAATCAAGTTTGTTCCAACTAAGGAACAACTCGCCGATCTCTTCACCAAGCCCTTGTCGTTGTCTAGATTTCAGCTACTACGTAGCAAACTACCACTTCATCCACCCAAGGGCTTGCTCGGGGTTGTTAGCTAGACTTCTTATCACGTACGATTCTTTGTTACTTTATCTCTTATCTATTTGTTACATTGTACATCCTTAGCCTATCCTCTATAACATCTAAAACTCATGTATAGTATATATATTGACATAATCAATGAAATCAAAGATGTGGAAAAACCCTTTAAATCAAAACCACTACAACGTTAATGACATGGTTCAACACATCCACAAAAAAAACAAACAAAAACAAACAAAATCGAAGGAAAATTTTAAGACAAGCACAACAAGAAAAAAGAAACAATAATTATTGAAACATATGGGTCATATTTTCCATTCTTGCCAAGGTTGTATTTTTTTTTTTTTTTAAGTCAAAGATTATATTATAGGCGTAAATTAGAAGGCTGTTATTAAGAAAATAGTTATAACCAAACTAAAACTTATGTAAATTCCACTTAACTAGAGAATCAGCTATATAATTCTTTTTCTTTGAATATGAAAGAAAGAAACAAATTTTATATAGAATATGCAATTAGATATTATTAAAAATATTCTGAAATTTTCAGAATCTAACAACTGATGTTTTGTGCATCCAAATAGTAGCGTTGGCCAAATCTGACTCTATAACTCAGCAGATTTGGTTACAAAAGGAGAAGTCATAATAATTTTCAAGGCTTTCTGAATTGCTAGCATCTCTATTTTATTTTACTTTTTAAAATCTCCTTTAGAGCTAAAAAAGTACTTACATGATAAAAGTTTTATTGGTGAATTGGATATCTTGTTCATGTTCATAGTTATATTTCTCTTGAAATATTTGATTCATTTTGACATTGATGACATAGTAGTTCGAGAATTCAACATCAAAAGAAGAAGAAAAATGAGAACATATCTTAGGATTAACTCAAATCTGCAATCTTTCTTTCATACTATACGTACATCATTTAGTCCAACACCATGTGAAATAAAAGAAAAGAACTAGAATAGCACAAAACTGACAATTCTGACAATTCAAGACAGTTTTTTAACAGATTTGAACTTTAGCATCCAAATTTTGGAAGGACGTTTTGAATAAACCGCTTTGCAATGTCCTTATATGCTTCTTGGGTCATATGGAGTCCATCCCAATAGATATACTTTCGAGGATCTGAACATGACTGTACCTCCTTAGTTCCACACTTCTTTCTGTTATCAAAATTATACTTTCCTCCGGTGCCGCAACAAGCTACCGATACCGATTCAAACCCTACATTATACAAATCCAAGAGGTAAAGATTTCATTATTACGTTTATTTCTCAATATTTCTTAGGTTATGGAAAGATTTATATATTTATATATGCCTACCAAGTTTTTGGTGATTATCCAAAACTGATTGCGTAGCAGCATAAACATCACCATATATTAGATGCACATCTGGGTTTTTGTTTCTCAATCTTGAAATGGATTTTTTGAGACGATTGTTATGATGCTTGATGAAGCGATTGTAATCTTTCAGACAACCGAATCGATCACGAGCATCGGAAGAATTTGTGCGCACTGTAAGCAAACTCGGCATACATCCTATGTGTGGGAATCCGGTGACAAGGACTTGTCTTGCACCATAACCGATGATTTTCTAGATAATCAATCAACAATGTAGTAATAAAAATAATAATAGGAGAATCAAACATTTTGTTATCCAACTCAATAGGAAATTAATCAAAAGAGAATAATATTATAAAACCAACTCATTTTACCAAGCATGACATGTTAATTAGGATAAAATAGTTTAATCTGTCTTTATATAATACTGTAAGTCTTTCGTCTATCTTTAGATTTTTAATTGCATCCATATGTCCTTAAAAAATTTTAAAATAATCAAGCTGTCAATCTGATTTTTTTTCTGACCATGAAAAAAAATTTTGATCGAAATACCCTCCAGTGAAATGCAAAAAAAAAAAAAAAAATTAAAAAATTAAAAAATTAAAAGGCTTCAAAAACAAAATATGCATGCAAATCATGTGACTTTAAGTGTTTTTCTTTTCATTTTAGCAAAAAGCATTTCAATTAAAAAATTTATCTATAATTAAAAAAGTAATTGATTAAAAAAATATATTGAACATCTCAAAAAGTTTCAGAGATAGATAGAATGCAATCAAAAATCTAAAAACATAAAGATTCAGAGTATTATATAAGAACAAATTGAGTTATTTACGAGGTTAATTAACTTACTCTTACACCTTCTTCATTGGCTTTTACAACGTGAGACACAAGGTCCATCTTTAGCTCCTTAATGGTTTTGCCTTTAAACAATGCTAACATATAGTCATTAGCACCCATTCCTTCAACACTGAACAGAGATGATTTGAGTTTCTCTTTACAATCTATTATGGGACATGAAAAGATTCAATAGACAAATCTTTGGTTAGATATATAGATCCAAAATAAGAAGTGCATGATTTTTAAATTAAAAAAAAAAAAAAAAGCTATGTGAAGGTGCTATTACTCAATGTTTTTGCATATTCGTCCCACCATTGAAGTTGGATATCTAGAGAAATGTTAATAAATGAGTGGAGATTGAATTTCTTTAAAGTTTCTTGTGGTAGGGCAGTAGCACCAGAAACCGCAAAATTTACTCCTCTGTGTTTGTCCTTTACATGCTTTTTTAAGTAGGGGTTGAGATAGGGAAGACCAGCTGCTTTTGCTGCAAATTAAGTTCAAATAATAACCAGCTTAGGAACAAACATTCTTATAATTTGACTTGTCATAAAGAGAAAAAAAAAGTCTCTAATTTATTATACAATACTCTCAATTTTTGTTCAACATGAAAAAAAAATCCTTGATCTTTATTTATTCTAATTTGGGTCTCAAACTATTTTTTATATGCAATTAAGTTCTTCAATCTAGTTACCTAATTTCAGATGACATGAATGACACATAAAACTAGTAAAATAGAAACACATGTCCTGAAAAGTCTAAACACGAAACATGTGTCATTGTTTTATGGTTCTAAGTATTTCTTACATACGTCCAATGTGGAATGATATTAGTCAACGCGATAGAATAACTTAATTACTGAAAAAAATATTCAAGATCTAAATCAGAATAATTAAAAAAAAATTATAGAACTTGTTTTCAATTGACCAATAATTGACGGTACTTTGTATCAATTAATAAAAAAAAGGACACAAAGGATGTTAATTTCCTCACCGAGGTAGTCAATTATCAGGAATCCATCACAGAATCTACCCTTTGCATGTTTAATGCTTCTGCCATAAGGAGCATTGAATTCTAAAGCATTCGGAATTAGATAAAGGGCATTCCCTGTGTCTGATAATGAAGTTCCAAAATTGTATATCGCATCGAACTCACAATTTTTTTTCCTTGTTTTCATTGCATCACAGGAGCTCGAATGAGGTGAAAGAAGAACCAAAAGAGAGCATATCACTTTCAGACTGCGAGAGAAAACCATTTTGGTTGTATCCATAGTGCCTTGGCTTGATCGAGCTGAATGAGATTTCGGTTTCATCATTGCAGGATCTTCAATCTGTTCAGGTACATTGAGAGAGGAGAAAAGGTTTGTTAATAATTGATTCTTGTATCCTTTTCGTTCTTGGTTTTGCAATTTTCTAGTGCACTCTACCAAATTCAGATGCTATTAATGGAAACAATGTTGTTATATTTTAATGTTAAAAGTGGGCTTTAATTAAGTGAGAGTTAATTAATATAATTAATATGTTAACTTACATTATATTTATGTAAAAATTATTAACTTGGCAGTTTTTTTTTATTATTATTTTTATAAGGATAAATAGTTCAATCTACCTTTATATAATAACTTTTGTGTAAATAACTTTTGGAGACACCCAACAGTAAGTGCGTTGAGAAGAACCCAACAGGATGCTTTTCCACTGCAATGTTGTGCTATAAATATGAAAAATGAAACTACTGAGTTTATTACCCACCATCAGCTTCTGACCTAAACTTTCTCACTTCCTATAGAATCATTGGAGATCGATACATTGAATTGTAATGAGGCCGCAGATCATAACATGCTTGCTTTTGTTATTCTATCTTTTTCAACTCACGTTCGCCTTTCCATCGTTGCAGCCGGTCGCATATCACAGCGAAGAGCGCTCTGCCTTGTTGCAATTCAAGGAAAGCTTCATCATTAACTGTTACGCTTCTCAAGTTCCATATGCTTATCCAAAAGTTGATTCATGGAAGCTTGAAGGAAATGGTAGTGACTGCTGCTCATGGGATGGTGTCGAGTGTGATGAGGATACCGGCCGGTCATGTGGTTGGCCTTGATCTCAACTCCAGTTGTCTCTATGGTTCAATCAACTCCAGCAGTAGTCTCTTCCATCTTGTTCACCTTCAAAAGCTTAACCTTGCCTTCAATGACTTCAGTGGCTCTCAAATACCATCTGCATTTGGTAATCTTTCAGAACTAACAAATCTCCTCCAGCTCTCCAACTCCCTATTTTTTGGCCAAATTCCTTCAGAAATTTCTAAGTTGTCTAAAATTTCTTACCTTGACCTTTCTTCTAACTATGGCCAATCTTCTGAAAAGCTTTTGGAAATTGGAATGCCTGACCAGAGAAGCCTAGTGCAAAATTTATCCAACATAGAATATCTAAATCTTGGTTCTGTTGACATATCTTCCCCAATACCCGATTAGGGCCGGCTTTATAATATATGTGGCTCTAGGCAAAATAATATTTTAGAGACTCTTTTATAAAACAAATAAATATTAAACATTATTTAAATTTTATTTTTCTTGTTTTTTGAGATGTAAAATCTCTAATTAAATTTTTGTATTCAAGTTTACAAAGCAAATCTTTTTCAATTGATAATACAATCAAATTACTTAATCTTTCTTGTAACATAGTTGAACGTAAATAAGATTTTATTAATTTTAATTTTGAAAAACTTTTTTCAGCCGAAGCTACGGTAGTAGGAATAGTTAATAGTATTATATATGTTATCCATGCATTTGGAAAAGAATTTACCTTTTTTGTAAAATTTAGTATGGCAAGTAGTGTTTTCATTTCCATAGTTATAATTTCTTTTAAAACTTTTAATTCTGAAAATAAATCTAAACCATCAATATCGAAAGCATATCATGGTTTAGAAAGTTTTTAAGATTTAAATAATTTTTTTTCAAAATATCATCATCAAGTGATTTTAATTTTTCTACACTATAAAGAAAACCAAAATTATCTTTATATATTTTAAATTGTTCAAATCTATTTTGAAGAGAGGAAATCGCATGATCAACTAAATATGTAAAATAATTAATTCTAAAAGATTCTTCAACAAATAATTTCATGTCTTCATTTTCAATCTCATCAAATTATTTCTTTCTAGTAGACATTTTATTCAAATAATAAAATTAAAATATAATTATAAAAGAGTAAAAAACTTTGGCACCTAATTATATTTGCTTGTCGTGCCTAATCAAGTAAACCTAGAGAGAATCATCCGAGAAAATAAAAAGAAATTTGAGAAAAAAATAAAATATTATATGATTTATATACATAATATTATTTGCATAGATTAAAAAATTACCTTTAAATTCTTACGCCAAGCTAATTAGTAAATGTTTTATAAAAGATCCCCGATTGTTTGGAGAAAGAAAGGAATATAATAACAAAATTTGGAGATCTAAAAATTGTTTCACTCACAAATATTTTTCGAAACTTTTCCGTAAGTAAAAGTGTCTTACTAAAATAAAAATTGAAAGCTTTTATAAGTAGAAGGTAACTAGAAAGACATCTAGAAAAGGTAGATTTTTTAACGTTGAAATAATAATATCTCCGAACAATAGGAGTCTTTCAATACGGGAACTCTAGTACCTATGATAAGAAAAAAATGATGTCTCATACTTAGATGGAGGCCTTTTTAACTTATATTATTTTTCACGGATATAAATTTATGATAAAATTAGGCTCCCTTTTTATAGAGGCCCTATGCATAGGCCTTAATAGCCTATGCCTTGAGCCGGCATTGTACTCGACATATTGGCAAATTTATCCTCATTGAAAGGTCTTTATCTCCTCAATTGTGGAGTTTATGGGAAATTCCCAATGGTCGTCTTTCGGTTACCAAACATTCGGTATCTTGAGTTATTGGTACTTGAAAACACTAGCTTTTCGAGTCGGATACGTGACTCTATAGGAAACCTTCATTCATTGGAAAGTGTTTATATTGGTCGCTACAAGTTTTCGGGAGTGATCCCCTTTTCACTTGGCAATCTTAGCAAGCTTGTATTGTTGGACCTTCAAGCTAACTCCTTTAGCGGCCGGATACCTTCTTCCACGATGAACCTCATCCAGTTAAACTATGCTTTACTCTACTTCAATAATTTCGGTGAGGGGATCGACCTTGTCTTGGCTTGATGGGCTAACTAAACTCCAACATTTCGCGTTCGGAAAACCAATTTGCATGGTGAAATCCCCTCTTCTTTAGGCAAGTTGACCCAAATTTATTATCTAGACTTGGCTACCAATCATTTTACTGGCTTAATCCCATCTTTTTCGGCCAACTTAACCCAACTTTCTTTCCTAGACCTTGCTGCAAATCAATTAACTGGTCGGCTCCCATCTTGGCTTACGAACCTATCCCATTCAACTTATTTGAGCCTTGCTTCAAACAAATTGCAAGGATCCATTCCAGCCTCAATTTCGGTACTCAAGAATCTTAGATATCTCAACCTTTATTCCAACAACTTTAGTGGCATAGTTGACACAGCGGAGCCGCTTATGCTAGAGAATTTTTACTGTATCGAACTTATCTATGAAAAAATTTGATGTTGCTCGACAAAACTAGCAACAACTTAAACCTTTCGAAGTTTGTTGGTTTGGGATTGGCTTCATGTAATCTATCTTCCCCGAGTGCTTGAGCAAACAAGAGAAATTGCTTTGGCTAGACCTATCCTTTAACAACCTTCGTGGCAAAATACCCAAATGGATGTGGACGAGTAAGTACAAAAACCCTAGAATTCATGGATTTTTCTCACAACACTCTAACGAGGCTTTGACCAACCTCTAGTTGTCCTTCCATTGTCTAGCTTACGCATTTTAAACCTTAGTTCAAACATGCTCGAAGGCTCACTCCGGTTCCACCATTCTCGATGGTCTTGTACTTGATCTCAAACAATTCGGTGACTAAAGAAATTCCACTATTGATTTGCAAAGGCGGTACCCTTCAAGTACTTGATTTGTCAAACAACAGTTTGAATGTTGCTATTTTACATTGTTTGGGCAACTTCATCAATTCTCTCGTCGGTGTCGATTTTACACAACAATAACTTTCAAGGCGAAATTCCAAGAAAGTGGACAAAAAGAAGCAAAATAAGGATGATCAATTTAGGTGAAAACAATTTGCGGGGATCGATACCAAGATCAATAGCCAACTGTAAAATGCTTGAGAGTCTTGACCTTGGTAACAAGCGACTCAACGATACTTTTCCAACTTGGTTGGGAACACTTCCGGAGTTGAAGATTCTTATTTTGCGGTCTAATGGGCTCCAAGGTGAATTAGGGACTCTCGAATCAAGCACTCGCATTCCCGACGCTGGATGTTATTGATCTTTACTCCAACAATCCTATCGGTTGTTTGCATGTCAAGTACTTTTGATGCCGGCATGCTCTGTGCAGCAAGTTATTGAGAACCGACTAATTTACATGCGAGCCTATCAAAGTTTTTGCATGAATTGTCACCTGGTTGCCTAATCCTTATGACTCTTCAAGATGTTTTTATTTGAATGGATATCCGATGGCGAGATCATTATGATTATTCTATGACAATGACTAACAAAGGGGTATCATTGGTGTATGAAAAGATCGCGAAATGCTCGAAGCCATTGACCTCATGTAACGATTTGAAGGAGAGATGTCGGAATTCATTGGGAATATGAAGGGTCTTCATTTGCTCAACCTCTCCAACAACATGCTCTCCGGTTTCATCCCATCACACACCGGGAATCTAGCGAGGCTCGAATCATTGGACTTATCTCAAAACGAGCTTTCCGAGGAGATCCCTCGACAACTCGAGCGACTTACTTTCCTTGCAACCTTTAATATGTCTCATAACCATCCGTCGGGGCCTATACCACGAGGAGGCCAATTAGATACATTTCAAACCAGATTATTTGATAGAAATTTAGGATTGTGCGGAGAGTCGTTGTTGAAGAAATGTAGAAATCATGCGCCCTTAGTCCTCGCTCCTCCTCGTAGTCGATGAATCGTTGGAGCTTCATTGAAAATTTGTTCGATTTGGTATGGAAGTGGATTCTTCATTGGAGCGGTTGTGGGACAAATTGCATTCAAAAGAAACATGATTGGTTCATGAAGACTTTTCGGATAAGGCAACAAAGAAGGCAAAGGCACATAAGGATGAGATGCGGTAATCGAATTCGCAAAGATTCCGTCCTTTATTTCCTACACCTTGGCATCGCCCACCGAAATCCATCCCGTCCCAGTCGATACAAGGTAAACATTGCTTGGATTAAGTCTGTTTTCCTATCATTTACGTGCATGGTTTTCTTACGTACATTTGTTTATGTTCTAGTTATATGTTAAGTTTGCTTCTTATGTTTGTTTTTTGGACCAACCGCTGCTTGTCGTGCTTCTTCTTCTTCTTCTTCTTCTTCTTCTTTTCTTTTTTCAAGTAGACTTTGTGCATCAAAAAATAAGGAAAAAAAATCCAAGTCCTTGTTGAAAAGTAAACTTAATTATGGCTAAGTATAAATAAATAAGTATGAATGTAGTCATTACATTTATGAAACTAGTTATGTGTGATGTGTCATTAATATAATGTTTAGTATTATGTGTGTAATAATTAAGGGATGTCTAGTTATATGTGTATGAGTTTCTCTATATATAGTTATAAGTGATTTGATGTTATGTAGAGTGGAATGAGTTAAGTTTCTAATAAACAAAGTGTCTTTTATTAAGTATTCTTGTGTCTCCTCCCTCTCCAAGTAATTTCCTTCTTGTTATCTTTGTATGGTGTCCGAAATCTATCCCCAACAAATTGATATCAAAGCCTCGAGTCGAGTTCCTATCTCCAAAAAGTGGTAGAAGTACGCAATTGAAAAAGTTTTTCTCCGGGTTTATTGAAAAGAGAACATGTTGAGTTGGTGTGAGTTAAGAGTTAGACTCCATAAGAAAAATAAAGAACTGGTGAAGAGTTCTTTTAAAAGCAAAAGTGAGGTCAAGAAGAGAACCTCGAAAGATGAAATGGAGTGTACTTGTGCTTGTTGTTGTTTCGGTACCATTCAAAATGTTTTTGAAGGAATTACTTGAAAAATTGAATTTGCCTCCGGCAAGTTATTCGTGTGAAAAGTTTAGGCAAGATCATTCTTCGAATTTATTGCTAAAGTTAAGTTTGAAGATAGATTGGGAAAACATACCCAATATGGATTCAAGGCATATACCAAGAAAGATATCGAAAATAAAGCGACTTTGCATGTGATAAGACATTTGAAGTGTGTCTTTGACATTATCATAAAGGATGTTAATGAAAGAGAATTATACGAAATAAAGTTTGATTTGAGCTAGATGCGGGATGTATATGAGGATTTGAGGAAAGATTATGATAATGTTGTCCAAGAAATGCAAGAACTAAAGAAGAAACTAGAAGAAATGGAATGCGGAGAATGGAGCACTAATAGAGTAAATTTTAGAGTTCCAAGAAGAGTTTTTGCTATTCGAGATTTTTCTCTTGGATGTGGACTAAGCAATTTTTAAAAAGTCATGACCAATGGATAATTAAGTTTACGGGAGGATGTTGGAGAGTAAACTTAATTATGGCTAAATATGAATGTAGTCATTACACTCGTGAACCTAGTTATATGTGATGTGTCATTAATATAATATTTAGTATTACGTGTGTAATAATTAAGGGATGTCTAATTATAAGTGTATTAGTATCTCTATATATAGTTATAAGTGATTTGATGTTATGTAGAGTGGAGTGAGTTAAGATTCTAGTAAACAAAGTGTCTTTTATCAAGTGTTCTTGTGTCTCCTCCCTCCACAAGTAATTTCCTTCTTGCTATCTTTGTGTGTTATCTGAAATCTATCCCCAACAAATATAACTTAAGCAAGTTACTATATTTTGCTACTAATCTTTGTTTATGTTGCCATTGGTGACAAAGTGCAAGACTTTAAAAAGGAAAAAAGAAAAAGAAACATCCTAGTGCTAGATTTAATGGACTAATAACAACAGAAAAGGAGAAACCAGATTTATTGAAATATAAAGAAACAAAACTGATGCCACAATTTTACTTGCATGGAAAAATACATTTTCTTCAATAATTCTGCCATTCTAATCGTGATTGAAAGCCGATAAAAAATGTCACTGTGCTCATCAAACTGACGATCATAAGACGAATCTACTTAAGCAAAGAGATCATTCCCCTGCAAATCGAGCCACGGCACAGGACCTTGAGACGGATATGAGCCTGTGCACGCTCTTGAGGCTAGCAAATTCAACATAGAGAAGTGCAGGGTTCCACTTCACAGAACTGGCCTCTCATGTCTTTTAGTTGTGAATGAAAAGGAAGAAAATGACAAAGAAGCAGAAGAAAATGTTGGAAAGTGCCATGGTTAGAGAAATTAAGAACTAGGAGACAAAATTTGCCTAGGTTCTTCGCCCATGTACAAGGTAGAATTAGGTGACATGCTTTATATATAGAGAAAGAAATGATCTTTAGTTAGTAATTAAGGTTGATTTCTTTGCAGGCCAAAATCCAAATTCAGCCGGCTGAAATATAACATAGAAATCTCCAAATCCAAAGTTTGTAAGCCTGCCTTTTGGCTTCCAAACTATTGCTCCTTCTGATATTTTAATGTTAAAATACATGAATTCAAGCCGTGTGGAAATGCACATGTCTAGTTTTTACAGGGACTTCTTTGGACCATCCAAAAAGTTTTGTCCTTTTCATAGGGACTTCTTGGATAATCTAAAAAGTTTGGTCACCCACCCATCTTCATTAGAGTTATTTGTTAGCAACCGGGTTTTGGGAGTAGTCCGAAAGGACCAAACTTGGCCCACCAAAGTTAGCTTTAACCACAGAAATGGTAGACCGGTTAGAGCCCATAGTTGAAAAAGGACTTAGATCCAATATGAAAAGGAAAATCATGAAAAAATTGAAAAAAAAAATTAAAAAATTAAACAAAAAGTTGCTTAGGTTAAACGTTAGAATGATTCCTTAGTGGAAAGTTTGGATTTTTTTTTCAACGGTAAAAGATATTCTTATATCAGTTTGCATCTCAATCAAAATTAAATATTTTTTTGAACGATTTTAAATATATATTTTTCAAATCAATATGATATACTTAGAAAAATTTTATAAATTCTACAAAATAATGGTATATATTGCAATTCTAACAATAACATATAAATTAGAAGATTATTTTAAACATGGAGGATTAAATCCTGAATTTGAAAATGATGATCAAAATAGTTCAAACTCGAGTTGTGTTTTTTTTTTTTTTTGTGTTATAAAAAATTCTTGGATTACACAATTAAAAATGATTCTTAGAAATCTTAAAACATTTATAATTTTACTTGGGATGTTTCCTCTAAAAACAAGATAATTCTCCTATACATGTAAATAACATTTTATTGCTTATTTTTGGGAGGTTGGGGGCAAAGCTGTTCAAATTTCAAACCTCTTGCTTTTTATAGATATGGGGAACGTGATTAGACAAGGAAGAAAAAGCCGAAAAAAGATGTTGAGAAATTTTGGAAACTGAGTCAAGGAGGAGCAAATCTTGTCAACTTCTTGCCCCATTGTCGTTTTCAAATACTGTGGTTGACCGGGATTTGCTCCGGGATTTTTGTGTAATTTAATAATAGAATTATTCATATATAAAATGTTTTTCTTTTAATTTTTTTTTAAAGTTAAGTTTCTTTCAATTTTTCTTGTATAATTATCATGAAAGTTATGGACAGTTCGTTTTCATTTTTGTTGATCCCACTAATGGTTAAAATTGAAGCATAAATTGTTTTATTTTGACGAGAAAACCAAACTCTCTAAACAAGTCTATTTATTTTGATTTTTTTTATAACATATATGTTATAAAAAAATTGTTTTGAAATTTATTGCATTATAATTACTTGTGTACCACTTTTCACAAAAAAAAAAAAAAATCTCTGTTTCCTAGATTGTTTTTTTTTTTTTTTTTTTTTTTTTTTTAGCATGGTCAAATGAAGTGGAAGATGTTACACATGTTCAAATCATAATAATTTATGACTACTTGAAAAAAAATGAAAGAAATAAGATATATCCTAAATATAAACTACTTACCCAATTTTTTTTATCATTCTACGTTATAAATATGAAAAATTATGTTTAGGTTTAAACTTTTCAATAAGTATGATTTTTTTATTTAAACCCTGCATACAAGTATTTGAGACAAAAATGACAAGATTTGAATTTTCTCAATAGGTACAAATTTAAAATTCGAACCAATATATTAGTATCCGAGATGAAAATGATAAGGTTTAAACCCTCTTAATAAATGTGACTGCGGGACTCAAGCCCCGCATATTAGCACTAGGAATGAAAATGAGCCCTTCATATTATTATTAAGAATTAAAATAATAAGATTTAAACTCTTTCAATAAATACGACTTTAGGATTTGAATCCCGCATATTAACGAAAAATTCATTTAGAGATTAGTTCGTTTATCGGTGAACCAATAATTTGTTAGTGATTTTTTTTTTTTAAAAAAAAGTTAAACTACATATTGAATTCTATATTAAATGAAATCCATGAATGATATATATATATATATATATTTGGGAAAAAAGAAGATACCTTTAAATTGAGAAATTTTAAACAAAATATGAATCCAGCATAAATTCTAACACTTGAGCCTAGCCTAGCACACACACTACACTGTATCAGCATTATTCTTGGGCGATCCTGATTCTTGATGTGTCCACCATAAACATGTATTTCTTTCCATGTACCCACAGATTAGAGCATTTCTTTAGGGAAAAAAAATCTCATTTAAAAATGCATTTTCATGCTAACCCACTCAGTCCCCATGTGAGATTATTTTATTGCCAGACAGATCTTAACAGAAAACTTCTTCATCACCATCTTATTATAGTTCTTGTCTCTGTCCGATAGCCAACACACATGGTATGTATGACCAGTCATCAGCACAAACACATCAAAATTCAAATCTCTTCATGTTCCAATCCAATCAATAAATGTATTGTTAAAGGGATATTTTCAATTCCTTGACTTTTCAAGTTTAAAACATTAGAACCCACGTATATTTATAAAAATATTAAGGTGAATAGCTCAGTTTGTTTTTATATACTTCTCTACATTTTTCATTTAATTCTAAATTTTTAATTATATTCTATTTGTCTATTTAATCAAAAAATTTTTTTGACTCTTTGACAAAATTTTAACCGAACTGTCCTTTATTGTGAATAGAGTGTCCTTTAAAAAAAATACAAAAATAAGATTTAATCTCGATCGAAGGGTAATTTTTCATTTGTTTCGAAGTTTTTAATTGCGTTTTATTTATCAAATATTCAATCTTTTGTTTAATCAATTTTTTCAATAGTAAATAAAATTTTTAACCGAATTATCTTTTATTGTGGATAACATGTCCTTAAAAAGTACAAAAATAAGATTTAATTTCGATTGACGCATAATTTTTTTTATTTTTTTATTAAGTTTTTAGTTGCATCTTATTTATTAAATGTTTATTCTGTCTGTCTAATTAATTTTTTTGATCGAGGATAAAACTTTTAACTAAAATGTCTTTTATTGTGGACAATTAGTCCTTAAAAAGTATGAAAATAAGATTTAATTTCGATTAACACATAAATTAATCTTAAAATATCTTTTGCCATTGAATAATTAATTTTTTAATTAATTCAAAAACCTATTTTATCTAATTACATTTACTTAATAATTTTACAGATGATTTTTTTATTGTATAATGACATCTATATTTAACCATAAACAAATCAATTTATGGACTCAAATATTTAAATTGACGTATTATATGATAATTGACATGTCTTAGAATAGCACTATAATCTAAAATGTTTTCATAGAAACCAACAACTAATCCATCCATGACAATCACTGCTTCAAAATTCAAACCTTAGCATCAACAAAGCAACATTAACAACCCTAGAAATTCAACAAGAATTCTGTAACAATAGCAATATACACCTCAGATTTGCCAGGCTAGCAATTAGCGTAAAGCGCCTTTGAATAGATTCTATTTATTTTTATAAAAATAAAAGTTCCAGGCTGGATGCCTTGAGAATCCAACTGAGTTTGATTCTTTTATCCCCATAATAAAATCAACGGTCCGCATTTCTCAATCTCTATTATACTTATTACCATATTTGTTTGTCATTCACTGCCACCACTTACATTTTCTCTCAATTTTTTAGGCAAATCACAACGGCGAAAACAAAAACACTACAGCTTTGGCCTGGTTGTGGTGGTTTTTGTTTTTGAAAGAGAAAAAGGAGAGAAACCCATTAAAGATTAAGGTTTGTTGATTCTAGATCCGACCCGCATTGCCTCCTCCTCCTTCTTTTATGGCGAAAGTTCATGTCTTTTGGTTTTGTCTTTTGTTTTTGTTTTGATTAATTATTTATTTTTGGATCTGGGTTTTCTTTTTTTGTTTGAAAGTTTGGAATTTGTTGTGTGGAAAATTTATGAGGTTTTATGGAATTTATGGTTGAAGTTGGGTGTTTGGCTAATAAGTGCATTTTGGGTTTGTTTTGGTTTTGTTTTCTGTTTGGTTGCTGGGAAAACCTGGTGGTTGTTTTGGATTTTGGTTGCAGAATTGAATGAAGATGGGTTTTCTATGAATTGTGTGGTTTTTTTTTTTTTTTTGATTTGGAATTTGTGCTGTGTGCTGCATTGTTGGTTTGTTGTTTATGGTGAAAATTTCTGCTTGTTTCCTGAGAAAATGTGGTAAAAGCGAATAAATTTTGGACATTTTAACCAAAATTAATAGTTTACTTTAAATTGAGCTGTGGAAGATTTTTTTTTAATGGTCCCATCCACATGTATATCTGTCTGTGTAATAGAAGATTTTTCAAGAGATCCAAAGAAAAACAAAAAAGAAAAAAAGTTCCAATCTTGAATCACAAGGCTAATTTTAAGGTGGAATGCGAGTTTGAATGTTTGTTATTAGGGCGGAACATTGTTGGTTTTTTTAGACTGGAATTGATTGGGATGTGGGACTGCTGATTTTTTCAATGGTTTGCCCTTCTAGTAGGAGTTAATTGATGATAGTGATTGGGATTTGGAAACTTAATGTTTAAGTATTGCTGTATGATGCTCCATAAATCGTGTATATTTGAGAGAGTTATTTGAAGGTTTGCACGTAAGAGATTACTATTGTGAATGAGAAGTTGAAATTTGATAGGTATAGAATGGTGGGCCCCTGGAGCTATGTGGAATTCAAAACTCTAATGTGTTGATTATTCAATATTTAAAGTTCTTTGTTGTGTTTTTCTTTTTATGCTCTTGTCACATTTGTAGAGCATATACCTGTTTCAATGAGTTTTATTCACTATTATGAGGAGTGGGATCTAGAAGAATAATAATATCAGATTGGAATTTTTTGTGCCTATTTTGTGGAAATTGCATTCAAGAACGTGTTATTCTGTGTTATGTTTTCTGTAGTCGTATAATTTGAGTATTGAACCTATATATTATATCTTGCCTGTATGTCTTCAGCTACACAACGAAGTGTCAAGATGGTAGCTCAGGAATTCACTGTTGATCTTGATAAACCCCTTGTTTTCCAGGTACAGTTGCGCTGTCACTTCTTTTTTTTTTTTATCTTAATCATATGGTAGTTGCATTTGCAAAGCCAAATATGCTCTGCTGAACTTTGCATTCTTAAGTTAATTTTCCCCTCCACGGGATATTTCTATCATATGGGGGTTTAAATAAGAATCATATATCTTATTTATTTTAGCTATTTAATCCTCATTTACTTTCCTGTTCTGTTTGCTTGATGAAACTGCGAGTTTTAAAACTTCCTATGTTGGCCTCAGCATGATTTCTGAAGCCTTTTAATCTTGTTTCTTCCTGCTTCCTCTTCCAGTTGTGTTCACATGTTTTATATCAGTAACTTCTCCTCCTCCTCCTCCTTCTTCTTCTTCTTTTTTTTTTTTTTTTTTTTCAAAAAGCATTTTTTAGTTTGCTTCTCTATTCATACTGTCATTGTTAATTCTGTTAGTGATTAGAAGTTCTTGAGATTGGATCGCAGGTTGGCCATCTTGGAGAGGCTTATGAGAAATGGGTTCACCAGCCTATTGTAAGCAGGGAAGGCCCTCGTTTCTTTGAGAGTGATTTTATGGAGGTATTGCTGCTTTGTTTTATACATAGAATTTCCAATCTCCCACATGATCAAAAATCATCTGTGCTTCTATATGCATGTCAGAATCGTCGTATTTAGGCATTTTAATTGAGGTTCACAGAATGCATTTGTCGAGAGTACATGACTGCATATCTGACTCTCTGACGCTTTTACTTTGAACAGTCCTTGACTCGCACAGTTTGGTGGGCAATTCCAACTATTTGGCTGCCTGTTGTATGCTATTCGGTTTCAAAGTCTGTAAGGATGGGCCATACACTTCCTGAGATTGTCTTAATGGTGGCTGGTGGTATTTTGATTTGGACATTGCTCGAATACACTTTGCATCGCTTCCTTTTCCACATAAAAACTACAAGCTATTGGTTAGTCCTCTCTCTATTTGCGCTCATGCTCTAAACTTATTACTTTATTTACAGTTAAGCTGTGGTACAATAGTCTTCTGATAATCTGAACTTGCTTTAGGGGGAACACAATACACTATCTTCTTCATGGATGCCATCATAAGCACCCTATGGATGGTCTCCGCCTTGTTTTTCCTCCATCAGCCACAGCTATTCTCTTGGTGCCGGTATGTTTATTGTGGCTTTGTTGTCATAGTTGATAAAAAGTTGTGTTTGAATGTTGAGAAGTTTAATTTTTCAAACTGTATAACTTCTTCAGGATATGTGTCTGAATTCCATCCATTGGATTCTGTTCTTGTTCACTTGTTTCATTAAACATGGGTTTTAGATTTTTTGGTTATATAGCCATCATGTGTGCAGTGTGCACACATTTGATCGCAGACTCTTATGGTTATGTGGGGTTCCTGAGATGGGTAAATGTCCATTTCCTGAAAGTTTAGAATATCGAGTTATGAATTAGAGAAAAATAATGAACTTATTTCTACCTTGTCAAAGCAGAGTATTTCTTTATGCTGACAAATGGCTGAGGCGAACATAATGTTGGTTCTAACCTGCTCTCTATAAACTTGGATATATATGACAATTAAATCTTTTGTAGCATATATGATAGTTTCGGCTTTTGAGTCTATTATAATCGTTTAAAAAAAATGGTAGTTGATTCATTTAGAAAAGTTTTTATGGGGGAGTTATCATTCGTTCTGTTCTGGCATTGAGCCAATTATAACCTCAATGTTGAAATGTAGTAGTTGGTATTAGAGCTTTATTAAGCTGTTTGTACTGTTTTTGTGCATAATTGCTGCTCTATCTACATAATCATACTTGTTTTTATTGTATATGTGTCCTTGCCAGTTCTGGAACATGGTCAGGCTGTTTGCGACTGCTTCAACAACTCCTGCTCTTTTTGGAGGTGGTTTACTGGGATATGTGATGTATGACTGCACTCATTACTACCTGCACCACGGTCAGCCCTCAAATGATGTACCAAAAAATCTCAAGGTAAGAGGAGCACATCACCCATTTGCTTCTCATTCTTTGGTTACCAATCATATAATTCTGTAGTAATATTATGGTAATCTTCTTGTTGTTTCTACATGGTTTAAGAGCAGCCAACTTTGATTTTTCTAATAAAGGGTGAGTGTGTTTACTGTATAAATCAGTGCTTCCTAATGTTTTTTAATTGTGTTTTGCAGAAATATCACATGAATCATCATTTCCGGGTCCAAGATAAGGGCTTCGGAATCACTTCATCATTGTGGGACAGAGTGTTTGGAACTCTTCCTCCATCAAAAGAGGTTGGAACACCTCCTCCATCAAAAATGGCAAAGAAAATGTAGATAATTCAATTGCAACCATAGTATTACCTTTTGCATCTGGTACGGGTCAGGGTGAGGAACGGAGGGCCTAAAAGTTCATTTTTCTTTGTTCCTAAAATTCATTCTTCGGCTGTCCATTGATTCGATTATGTTAATCTAAGTGTTCTTTACCTGGGTTTTTAAACTCGATATGATCATTATCAATTTTTGTGGTGCCCTTTTCCAGTGGGAAGTTTGTATAAATTATAGCCTGCTTATTTCTTATTTGTTCTCCTTGTCTATATTGCTTTTGCCAAATTGCTAGAACAAAGAGAGTATGGTTTCGTTTCCCTGTATCTTGTCATTACACTTCCAGTTTTCTGACTTTGGTTTGATGTGTCTTCGGCTACACTGCTTTGTTCTTACATTTTCATTCCTTCCCTTCTAGGTTTAATGTCATCTCTCGGGAACATTTTTCAAATTTGCTTGTGCAATCAGAATTTGAACCTGTTTGTTCTAATGAATAGATGATTCATGCCGGTTTTCTAATCGGAAAGCAGCTTCAGTTTGCACCTTCCAGTGAATTTTATCAGAACTAGTACAGAAAACCGTGGATCAATCAATGTCTGGAGGAAAAAACGAAAATGGATTATGAGAATTAAGCAATCGCTTTACGTTATCAATCAAGACGGATTGAGAACATGTTCGAGCAACTTCATAAAATGGTAGAAAACCAAAATTTCATGCATGCCACTCACCTCCAATTCATAAGCAAACACTTTAAGATACATAGGTTCCCTTGGAAGGTTAAAATAATTCATGTTAACTTTTTGGCCTAAAAAAAAAAGGATTTTTTTTTTTTTTTTTTTTAAATGCACCCAATAGAGGGTAAATTCGTTTTTTTTTTTTTTTTTTTTTTAAAAAAGAGTAAATTATAAATTATATATAGTAAAAAGAAAAAAGTAAGTAAAAAATATAGAAGGAATGATTAGAAAAAAATGATATTTTTAAAAATAAATTAATGTTAAATTAAGTATAGTAAACACTAGTTAAATAAATAAATAATTATTTTTAATTAATTAATTAAACAAGAAAAACTAATTAATTATTTTCTAAATAATAGAGGGATTAATTTATAATTTACTCGTAAAAATTGGTTATCCTAAGAAGCTTATAACACTCTAGACATAGAGCATTACTTCTCCACATCTACACATATTTAGAAGAACCAACCTCGAGAAATTTTATTTTTCTCCGTAGAAAAGAGATCAAAAAAATTATTTGTGAGTTTAGATGAAAATATTTAAATAATTTTCAGTAGAATCCATTGTATTATTCTCTCATATATTTATGTTTATCTTTTTTTTTTTTTTTTTTAAGTTGAACTATAGAATAAATAATTACTCTTAAAATAACATAAAATTTCAAGACCTATCAAATTATGAAATAAATAATAAAAGTAATATAGAATTTTCGATCCATCGGATCTATAACGGGACTGGAACCGACACTTAAGATACATTAATTAGTTGCAAAAAAGCAGGCCCAAGATTGAATATCGAAACCCAAACAAAAGAACTAAGAAAAGCCTAGAAAAGGCCCAAATGTTTGTTCAAGCTTCAGAAGAGACGGTTGGATGCGGCCCATTTAGTCCCATATCCGTATCAATTAGGTTTCTTATTTTTTCCCTCTCGTTTTTCTTTCGTTCAGAAACCACTAGGGTTTTTTCTCCTCCATCTTTTGAGGGTTTATTTAAGGCTTTTCCTTTTCTCTCAAATTTATCACTCAAAAATCAAATCAAAGCAAATCCTTTTATTTATTAATAACTCAACAAAGCAATGGCTCGTTGATTAGGCTTTGGTTTTTCTTGCAAAAGCATGGCCGCTGATGTTTCAGTAAAGAAGAAAGCCACAGTGAGCAATCCATGCTGCAAAGTGGTAAGTAATTAGAGATTTTTTTATAGGGGTTTTGTTGACTTTTTCAATTTTTTAATGAGTTATGTTTTGTGGGTTTTTTGAATGTAGTGGAAGGAGAAGTGTGGGAAGTTGGAAGAAGGAAGGAAGTGTTTGAGGCAAGCAGTTAAGCTTTTGACTGAACAAGCTGATAAGTTTCAGGCTGAGAATGTTAGTCTCAAGAAAGGTAAAAGTTTCTTTCTTTGTTTTTTTTTGCCTGAAGATTCTGATTTGATGTGGTAGTTAGTTGAACATGTTGTGTTTTGAAAAAAAAATTAATTGGTTTTTTTATTGGATTTTTTTGACAGATTAGGTGATCTTGTTTTGATGTTGATTTATTTGAATGGCTTTTGATTACCCATTTTTTTATTTGGTAGAATGCGTAACTCGTTAATTTGGGTAGAGGATGCATGATATGATGGAATGAATGATTAGGAAAAGCTATATTGGTTTTTTATTTGACATGATATTATACTACCTACTATGTAGGTATGCTTTTTCGCTTGTGGTATAGAAATTTATATTAATGTGTTTTTGCAGTTTGTGAGGAAGAGAGAGCGAAGTTGGAAGCTGAGAAAGTGGGGACAGAGAAAGATGTGACTTTGAGAGTTACGTTGGAGAATGAGATTTCTGCCCTCAAGTCTGAAATATTCACCTTACAGCAGAAGGGAAGTGCAGATGCAGGAGATAAAAATGGGGAGGTTAAGATGCTTCAAGATCAGGTATTTGAAGGAGATAAGGAAATCAGGAGGCTCAAGGAGCTTCTTGAGAGACAGAAAAGAAGAGCAGATTCTGAAAAGAAGAATGCTGAGGCAGAGAAGAAGAGTCCTAATGAGGCATGGAAACATGTGAAAGCTGAGGAAGAGGCGAAAGAGAAAGAAGCGGCTTATATAGTTTCATTGGAAAATGAGATTTCTGCCCTTAAGTCTGAAATATGCACCTTACAACAGAAGGGAAGTTCAGTTGCAGAAGAAAAAAATGGGGAGGTTAAGCTTCTTCAAGATCAAGTTTATAACGGGGAGAAGGAAATCAGCAGGTTCAAGGAGCTTCTTGAGAGAGAGAAAACAAGGGCGGATTCTGAAAAGAAGATTGCTGAGTTGGAGAAGAAGAGTGCTGCTGAAGCATGGAAACATGTGAAAGCTGAAAAAGCTAAGGCTGATGAGGAGCGGAAGCATGCTAGTAGTGAGGGGAAGAAGGCTGAGGAATATCGGCTTCAGTTGGAGACATTGAAGAAAGAAGCTGAGTTAGCAAAATCAAAGTTGGCTTCTGAAACTTTGAAGTTTGAAGAAGCAAAGAAGAAGTTCGAAGCAGAAAAACTCAAGGTGACCAAAGAGAAAAAGCATGCTGATTCAGAGATAGCAAAAGCAGAGGTTCAGAGAAAGCTTGCAGAAGCAAACAGGAAGAAGCTCGTTGAAGAGAAATCTCACTCTGAAAATCTTTCCAAGCAGTTAGAAGATGCCCGACAAAGAATTGAGGAACTACAGAAGGCTGAGCTATATCAGCTTCAGTTAGAGTCTTTAAAAAAGAAACTGCTGAATCAAAATCAAAGTTGGCTTCTGAGACTCTGAAGCTTGAAGATGCCAACAAAAAGTTTGAAGCAGAAAAAGCAAAGGTAATGAAAGAGAGAAAACGTGCTGATTCAGAGATGGCTAAAGCAAAGGAGCAAAGGGAAGTTGCTGAAACAAATGGAATGAAGGTCATAGAAGAAAAATCTCGTGCTGATAATCTTTCGCGGCAGTTGGAAAATGCTAGAATAAAGATTGAGGAATTGGAGAAGGGGATAAATGGATTCATACTCTCCAAAAATATGGGTGTGGCTTTTGATGATCAACATGATGAAATTTTGAATGGTGAAGCTGTCACAACCAGGATTAGGGATTTGTTGGAAAATTTGAAGGACAATTCAGATCAATCAGAGCTGGTTTGGGGTTTTTTAAATTCTGAGGCTACAACCAAAAGGTTAGATATTGAGAAGCAAAAAGCTATTACTGAGAAAAAAATTGCAGATTCAGAGATGGTGGAAGCAGAAAATCAAAGAAAGCTTGCAGAAATGAACAAGAAGGTGGCAGAAGAAGAAAAATCTCGCACTGATCTGTTGTCTCGTCAGCTAGCAGAAGATAAAATAAAGATTGAAGAATTGCAGAAGCAGATACAGGCACTCCTGTCCTCCAAAAAAATAGTTGTGACTTCTTCAGTTTTACCTGACAAAGCTATGAATGTGGAAAAGACAAAACTAAAGCTCTTGGAAAAACAAGTGAAGCTTGAAAAGATGCGATTAAAGCATGCCAAAGAAGTGGCTAAGATGGAAAAGAACCGTAATAGTATTCTACAGCAAGAACTAGCTCGCTTGAAGCTTGATTTTGGCCAAATGTTGTTTCGCCTGGATGTACTGGATAAATATTTCTCAACTAACGATGAAGGTACAGAGAAACCGGAAAAGGTCAGTCTCACTTTGAATCAGTTACAACCTTTTCTTTTGAACTTATAATTTGGAATAAAAAAAAACACACACACTTGTTTTAATGATGGTGGCCATGCAAATACTTTTTAATAGTAGCAATCAGGATTTGTTGCTATACTTGGCCACTGTTTGATTTTTCCCAGCTGCTTGGTTACTTGATGCCTCTTTAGTGACATTTTCTCTCAATGCTATTTTTTATTGAAAGTTTAGGATTGCTGTGGCCGATATGTCTTACATTGACCAATATTTATTGAAATTGTCTTATAAGTTAGAATCATCTTTCCTTACTTTATGCATAGGAAAATCAGCGCTTCCTCTCTTTCTCTCTACTTTCTTACACCTTCGTATTTGTTTAATTTAGATTTAAAACATTCATTCTCAATCATTTCATAACATTTACTTTGTTTCTTATGTTGGAGTTTCAGTGCAAGAAGTAAAAGCGTCGTGGGCTGTATGTTTTAGATTTGAATTTGTATCTAGTGATGAAAAAATGGATGGAGAAAGTTTCTCATGTTCATTTGATATTTTGAGTGAACAATTGTGCATCTTTTCATGGCTGTAGCTAACATTAATTGGCCTCTCGAATGTTAATATAAAATAATTATTCCAATGTTTAGTTTAATAGTTATGTTTGTGTCATTGGACTTGAGAACTTAGATCACACTGTCATTTTGTATTTGCTTGCATATTCATTGTTGTTTCTAATACATTTATTCTGCTCTATGTAATTGGTTAATAGTTTGCTAACTGGATTGTTTGGTGGACTTGGCAGATTGGGGACCTCAGAACCATGCGAAGGTCCAAGTTGAAGAGAAAACTTGATGCAGAAGAGCCATTTCAGACATATTCTAATAATGGAAGTGAACTTTTCAAGCCTAGCTGCATGGCTATGGCTGTTTCTGAACCTCTCACGCAAATGCTTCACTGTACAGCTCCATTTTTTTCTCCATCTAGTGGGAACCATGCTGCATCCATCTCAGGTATTGATTCTAAATTGGAGTCTCTGCTTGGAGGCTCTAACCGAAAATTGTTACAGACTTCTGCAATAAATTCCAGTTCGGCATCTTTTTCTGATGGTCAGTTGGTCGGCTCACAGGAAAGGGGTGCATTTGTTCCCACACCGAAGAACTTGGTAGAAGAAAACTTTAATGCACAAACAACAATTTCCAGCATGTCTGGTGAAGTTACTAAAGTACAGCATGATGAAAATCTTGCTGTGGTAGCTGAAAATAGTGTTAGAAGTCCTCATAGCTTTGACATTATTGGAAGAGTTAATGGACACAGTAGGAAGAGGATGGTCCTTGATGCAGTTGAATCTGTTGAACTTTTGTATTCGGAGGGTAAGAAGCTGCACCTGCAGATGGAAGAGAAACTCTCTGTCTTGCATGGCATGTTAAACAGGCAAATTGAAAAACCACAGGAAGAAGCCAAATATGTGGAATCTAATATGCAAGGTGGTTCATATGCTAAGCATGAGAGCTCTCGTAAGAAAAGAAAGGTATCTCATGAAGAGAATGTAAGTATCCACCATTTATCTGGTGTAGATCTGCTAGAGAAGAGCAAAAAACCTGGGAAAGAAGTCGTTGAGGATGCAAATGCCTGTGGATATACCTCCTCCCCTGCCAATAATTTAATGGTAACTTCAAAAACATTCAGGGAAGGTTTGAGTGATTCTTTTGAAAGTGGCCCTGAAGGTATGGTAAGTTTTGAGGAAGTAGCTGATGGCAATTTCATGAAATTGCTGGACTTGGATAGCACTGCAGATGAGGAATGTTACAGGAGAGCAATGGAAATGCCTATATCCCCAACTCTACCTGAGATAGGGTCTTCAGGTGCTGAAATATCTGACAATATGGATAATTATAAACCCTTGCTTGATGAAAGCTTCCTTGGAAGTTTACCGAATGGAAAGGAATCTCTAGTGCCTTCTTTTAACTCAGACGTCATTGATGTGGAAATTAGTTCCCATCAATTGAGAAACAGCTCCTTTGGATCTTCCTGTGCTGATTTGCTACATGAAAATGAAGGTCCTGCAGATTCGTTTGATATAGTAGGCAATAGAAGTGGCTCTTGTAATACCATGGATGCTGGAAAAGTTTCTGATGGTCAGACCAGGGATCTTGGATCTGGATTGGACATTGAGATGTTGAATATACCTAGTTCTAGATATGAGGGCCTGAAGTTTCCAGTTGAAGGTGAACTTGGTTCTATACTTGACAATATTCCTAAATACTGTGTGATGTTTTCGGATATAAATGACACTATAAGCATGTCTAGAGTAGTTTTTGCTACTCGAACTTGTGTGGCTCGCTGTTCTTTGGACATTCAAGCAGATGGTATGGTTCAAAAGATCTTGCGTGCTCTTAAAAAGGAAGAGAAAATTTTACCCAAGTAAGTAATTCATCGTTATTAAAGCATATCTTATCTGAACTGTTGTAGAGTTTTACATTAGTTCAATCCTCAAGTTAATAAATATAGTTTGTGTGCTTGGCTAGATCATGACATTGAATTATTCTCCTTGTTTTCTGTCTACTTCTTTTAGGGAGAAGGCTTGCACATTTTTTACGTTATTGCTACTGAGTTTCTCTGCTTGCAATTGGGGGAAATTTGGAAGCTTTTTGGATCGGGATTTTCTCCTCTGCTTAGATTCTTTTGCCAGAGACATAAATGCAGGTATGTTTATTTGTTATCAATTTTGGTTCTGATATTAAAGTGCTGTATTTTTCTTTTGTCCTTACAATTACATGATCCAATATTTCTTCGCTTGGGGTTGTTTTCTATTGAACCTGAGTGCCTGACTCCTGTGTTTCTTTGGATGCAGTTGTCTCTGATGCTGAGGCAAGAAACTTGTTTGTGGAAGTATGTTGTTTGGACGAACTGCTTGGTCTTATAGAAGAATTCCTCCTAGATGCAAAATTGATGGTATATGCAGATCAATCTTCTGAGCCTTTGCGTGGATGTGGTTCAATGATAGACATCCTTCTGGACGGTGTAAATATAAAATTTGCCTCCAAATCAGCTTCAGCCGACCTTTTGGTGGCAGGGAGCATCATACTCGCATCAATATGTGCAGCAATTGACCACATTGGATTTCTTTGTCAGGCTTCATACAGCCTTTTGCAGATGCACAGATGTGATACTGTTTCTGTGCTTACTATTCTTCACATTTTTGCTTACTTGTCTGGAGAGAAGTATCTCTCCCCGAGGAAGCACAGTTTGACAATGACTGTGTTAAAATCAATAATCATGTTTCTTGAAGGGGGAGATTCATCAGCTGCTTCCAGTCTTACCATGTCTAAGGGTGGAATGTTCCATCCATGTGCTAAATGCCCATTTTCAACAGATGCTGTTTCCATAGATATTATTACGTCAATACTCTTGGAAAAGCTTCAGAATTGTGCTGTTTCTGGAATCATGCATCATCTGATGGAATCACCCAGCTTGTCAAATGCCAATGTATTAAGCTGTAAGGATGCAGCTAAACAGAGTTTAAGTCATGAAGAGGGGTTTTCAGCTTTTGATATGAATTGTGATGCATCCTGTAGTTTAAACAAGTGTTTGATGCCTGCCCAATCAAATTCTGTTATGAATGGGACTTTATGTGACTTCAGTGATCTTCTATCATTGGTCGAGCTGCTTGCTTGCTATATGGTATGTGGTTTCCCTTTTTGGTTTTATATTAGTGTTTCCAATTTTGTACTTCCATTGCATTCACTAAATTGTTTATATTCCTGAAAAGAAATGTGGCAAAGCTGATTTTCACCTGTCTTTCCCTGTACATATGCAGAGCTGGGAGTGGACTTGTGGCAAAATTATATCTGAGCTGTTGGAAATTCTAGAAAGAACTAAGCTAGACAGCTTTGCTATTGCCGAAATTATCCTCCTTGGTCATCTTGGAAGGTACGTTTAGCATGATCGGTTATTTGTTGTTTATGTTTATATATTATTAATTTCTGTTTTATTTTCAGAAGCTGTTTAACTTTGAATATTGATGGGTGATCCGTTACCAATATTTTAATGTGCATAGGGAAGTTACAAATGTGAAGTTCACAAGTATATATATCTGTGTTTGATAACATTATTCAGCACTCTAAAAATTTAGATTGGTCAACATTATTTACCACTCCAAAAATTTAGATTGGCTTTTGGGAAGGAATAATTTTTTTTTTTTCATGTTATGTTTTTATGGCACAAACCCACATAGTGACTTTTTCTTTATTTATCTTGGACTGTACAAAAATTAGTTTCTTGTTTTTTGCATTACTAAATACTGAATAATTTAATCTGCTATGTTGATTCAGGCTGGGGGTTGCTGCTTGTGGCTATGAAGATAAAGGAGTAGAGAACTTGAGATGTAAATTGTCTGGTTTTCTTTTAAGGGACACTACCATCAGAATGGCTCTTCCTGTTCAAATTGCCTTGGCCAATGCTTTGCTAGGGCTACTTTCTCTTGATTTTGAAAATATTATTGAGAGTAATTCTAACCCTCCAGCAACTGGTTGTCAATCCGTTTCCGTTGATCATATAAGAAGCTGGTTCTCTTCACTTACCAAGGAGCAGCAAGCATGGTCACGCAGCCTCTTACAATCTTCTGATGTTCTATAAACCGAGACAATTGCATAGTTGCAATAAGAACATATTACCATCTGCAACAATACTCTGCCTGTTCAAAGTGGGGAGTTTCTTAATAGCAAGTGGTCATTGACTTGCCATATGGTTAAACTAAAACAGAGTAGAAATTTTTACGGGATTCCCATTTAATAGGTTTTGATTCTGAGATGGAGTTCTCCATACAAGTTTTTTCTTTCCTTTTTTGAGTTCTGAGCGGGTAAGAAAATGCAACCCAAATTTTGATATGTAACTTGTGTGAAGGCCTCTCTATGTATGAATTTTGTTTCTTAGCCCAAATAAATTTGTAAATTTTTTGAAGCAGTTTCTACAGTTGCACAGTATCTCGGCTTGCATGATTTGATTAATTAACCGTTTCAATTTACAATTTGCTTTTTTGGGTAAAAGAATTAAGAGTTAATGAATTGATGATTATTGGCACTTTATACGAAATGGTGATCTAGATAAAGAAAACTTTTGTCCTTGGGACATTTTTCTCACTGGTTCCTTGTCTTGCTATCTTATCCGTTTGACTTGGTTTTTCATTGCACAGGTGATAGTAAAGCATGCTTCTCTTTTTATAAAGTCCTCTACGATTCATTGATTACCTGGTTTCACCACATAATTCAGGCTGATATTGAGAATGTTTCTGCTTGTGAGGCCATGGCTTAGTGATAAGGTTTGGAGTCTCTTTTTACGTGACTGAGGCATACCTGTGCCAAGGATCTTTGGCTGCTACACATTACATATCTTTGCAATCCTGTGGCATTGCTCTCAAGAGCTGTAAGACGAAATTGCTGCCACTGAGGTTAGTCTCTCTTCCTCTCTGTTTTTTATTTTATTATTATTTTTTTCTTTTGAGATAAAGAGATGTAGTTGAAAGTTGTGATTTCTGTCACTTATTATTAGTAAGGACTTTAAACAACTTGATGCTACTACTTTTTCCTCTGCACCGAGCAGTTAGTTTTCTGCTGGATTGTAACCAAATTGCTAATTTTTACCAAGTGGTCTGTCACAAGTCAAATTTATGGGAGGAATTATTGCCCCTTGTTGGCTCTCTGTTTTGAACCTAAAGCCTAGAGAGTGAATCAACTTGAGCTTTGCTCTGACATCTAATGCATTACACATTGTTTCTGTTTCTTTGTATGCTGTTCATGTTGGAAGAAGAGAGAATGCTTGGAATACCTTGTAAGACTGTTTTTGTACTGCTTTCTCCTTTATGTATGAATGCTTGGAATACTTTGTTCACTTCTGAAGAAATTGTCAGAGTCAACCTTGCTTTTCACCTGAACCAATCTCTTGAAATTTGCCTTGAAGTACTTCATGCCCCAATCACTAGCCTCAGAATAACTTGTGTTTGTATGCTTGTTAATGCCCAAGTCAAGATCTCTATAGTTAAGATAGGCAGTCCTCGGGGATTTGGAAACATATGGTTCCATGTACATATAAAGCATCTTGATCCAGTTTACATGCTTTTGTGATGCTCTAGCCTCATTCTCATCCCACTTCACCAAGTATTGAATGTTGTACAAATTTCCTTTCCTGTGAGGAAAAGGAATATGAGATTCTGGAATCTCATTCATTCTTCCACCATAAGGATCCATTATCATGAACACTAGCTCTTCTTGCAAGAACCTCTCCCATATTCCTTCAAGTCCAACTTCAGGTATAGGTTCTGTCACAAAGTCGGATTTTGCCTTGAATTTGGCTTTGTATAGTTGAGTCTTGTCAAGTAAGACCTCTAAAGGGCTTCCATTCTGAAATCCAGCAAAATAGACTGTAGACTCGATCCAACTCATTTCTGTGCAATTTTCAGGTATCAATCCCAACTCTGGAAAACTGTCATTAATCAAGGGGATTAGTCTTTCGATACCTCCAAGAAACAGTAAATTGAAGGAAGCTTCTACTGTTCTTTTGTTTGTACTGCTGTCTCCTCCAACATCCTGAATGACGATCCTGATGAAGAGATCTTCATGTAGTTTATCTGCAATGTATTGCCACCTATGAACAAGCTTGGTGGCGCCTTGTTCAATGGTTTTCGACATGGTGAATACCGTCACAGTTTGTGGTACCTGAACCAGCTTGATCTTCCATGACATTATGATTCCAAAGCTTGCTCCGCCACCCCCTCTAATGGCCCAAAACAAGTCTTCTCCCATTGCTTGTCTATCAAGAATCCTCCCATTCACATCAATCAAGTAAGCATCAATGATATTATCTGCTGCAAGGCCATATTTCCTCAACAAGGTACCAAACCCACCTCCAGTAAAGTGTCCACCAACACCTACAGTTGGGCATAATCCTGCTGGGAACCCATGAACTCCACTTTTCTTGGCAATAGCATAATAAAGCTCCCCAAGTGTTGCACCTGACTGAACCCATGCTGTTTCATCTTTAATATCAACCTCTATCCCTCTAAGATTGACAAGATCAATGATGATGAACGGTGTCTTGCATAGAAAAGATAGACCTTCATAGTCATGGCCACCGCTTCGAACTCTAACTTGTAGCCCTTGCTTCTTGCTACAAAGAATTGCTGCTTGAATTTCTGACTCATGAAATGGTGTGATGATAAGAAGAGGCTTTGATGTTGAGTTTAACCATCTTAAATTTTGTTTAGATGATTGCAAGAGATATGAATATAGAGGGGATTGCGGCGTGAAAATGGTTTCGAAGGATTTGGTATAAGCGTTGAACTTAGTTGACATGCATTGTATGAAGGTTTCATGGATTGGACTACTTGTAGCTGCCCATGAAACTGAAAGCAAAACCAGAGAAACAAGAACAATGGCTTTCATTTTTCCTCCTACCCCTAGGGTTATCATCTAGGGTTCTTTGGTTTATATTTGAGTTTCGGACACTCAACTAGGGATATTGTAAAAGGCGGTTGGCTACTAGCAAATATTTGTGTGAAGACACAATTAATTAGTCCATTTTAGAGAATTCTGGCCGCACATGTCAACTGCATTTTGTCATTTTTATTTGGTTCGGCAATTAGTAGTGTCTATCGTCTTGTTCACATGCCTTGTAGAGATGGTGTTTGTCAATATGACAAAGTGCCACACCCCAAGTTTTGGCATAAATCGTCGGTAAGTCTCTTTTGTTGTTTTGATCGATGGCATTTTATATTTTTATGCTAGTTTGCATATCAATTGAGATTAAATTTTCTTAAAAATGTATTTTTTTTTTTTTATATTAGTCAAGTGCATTAAGGACATTTTTTACATCAGTTTATTTGGTGTATTAAGAATATACTTATATAAATCTGATACGTTAAAGGGAATGAGTTTATTCGAATTCTGCTTTCGATGTTCAAGTTTAGCATGTTGATGGAAAGAGGAAACCTTCTTTACCATTAGTTTTACCATCAGTCCTTAAAATTCTTGCAACTTTGATGCGGTGAGCTCTCGTTATTTTGTCGAACGTTCATAAGGCTAAAAAAAGAAATTTATGATCTAATTTGGAGAGATTTATTGTTGATAATGCAAAAACTAACTAGAAAATATTTTAATTTAAAATAAAAACAAATGAATTGTTTGTAACAGGATTTATAACATTATAATCAAAAGATGCTCGACTCAAAAGGAAAATAAGCATCGTTTTATGTTGTCTTTCAAATCTCTCCAATAAGATTATGAGAAAAAGGAAAAAAAAACTTGGAATGTTAAAATCAAAATAAATAAAATATTTAAAGGCCAAAATGCTTTTAAAACATCCGACCTGCCGGATTCGAACCAGCGACCTAAGGATTGCCTGTTGATATTACCACTACAGTCCTCCGCTCTGCCAACTGAGCTAAGGTCGGGTTATACGTAACGGAGCATATGAAAGGTTAAATAATGAAATGTCCTGATTTTATTTTGGAAGACATTTTGAACTGCAAAGATAATGTCACAAGTTCGTGCGTAAATTATAAATCAGTCACTATTGAGAAATAAATAAATTAATCTTTTTTTTTAATAATTATTTAACTGTGTTGATCACACTTAATTTATTATTACATTATTCTAAGAAAATATATTTTTTTCTCATCAATCTTTTTATATTGTTTTTTTTTTTACTTAAAAAAACCAAATAAATTAGGGAAGAACATAAAATGAACAAAATAATAATAATAATAATTAATTTTGAAACTAGATAACTAATTAATTCATTTCTCAAAGCTAGAGAGCCTAATTTATAATTTACTAGGACTCTTGAGCATCTTTAATATCTATTTTAAATCTTACTAATGGACAAAAAAACATATACTTCACCCTAACAATCTCCCATACAAGACACAAAATACAAAAACAAAAGATGGATATTAAAATACAACTATCATTACAATTCATTAAAAATCGTAAAAAACAAAAAATAAAAAAAATAAAAATGATAATTAAAAACAACTATCATTATAATTTATTAAAAATATATGCAAAAACCAAAAAAATGGATGCAAACAACAACTATCATTACAATTCATTAAAAGATTGCAAATTTATACACTTGCAATATTTTTTTATTCATTCCACTTCCCTCTTTCCTTCACCCAAAATGAGGGGTGGCAATGGTATGCTCTGTTCATAAGCAAAAAAATTGTTAGGATCAACCTCACCCTTTACAATCACCAACCTCTCAAAATTTTTCTTGAAATACTTGTGACCCCATTTCTCAGCTTCTGTGTATGTATCCTTTTCATCATTCTTGCCCAAATCCATATCTCTATAATTCACATAGGCACCCCTTGGATTCTTAGACGCATAAGGAGTCATGTTCTCATAGATTGACCTTATCCAATCTATGTGTCTTCTTGAGGTCGTGAGGTCCTCTTCTTCCCATTGGACCAAGTATTGTATGTTGTACAAGATCCCTTCTCTATATGGAAATGGAGTTTCTGATTCTGATATTTCCTTCATTCTTCCACCATATGGGTCCATGATCAGTATTGGCTTCTCTTCTTCCAAACACCAATTCCATAGCTTTTCCAAACCAGGTTCTGCTATGGCCTGCTCAACAAAATCTGTTGCAGCCTTGAAGAAGTTTTTTGGTAGGGGTTTCCTATCTATAAGGGCCTCTATAGTTTCCCCTTCAGGGTACTCCGAAAAGTAAAGGATAGACTCAATCCATCTCATTTCAGTACAATCTGTACTCTTCAAGTCCAAGTCAGGAAAACTTCTCTCCATTGTTTCAAGAAGTTCATCAGTTCTTCCAAGAAACAAAGAGTTGAATGTTGCTTTGATTGTTCTGTTCCCTTTTCTTGCATCACCAACAGCTTCTATAATGACCCTAATGAACAAATTTTCGTCAAGATTTGGCCCAGTAGTTTGCCATTTGTGGACAAGCCTAGTTGCTCCTTGCTCTAGCGTCCTGCCAACATTGAATACAGTGACAGTTGTTGGAACATGAACAAGGCTTACCTTCCAAGCAAGGATGACTCCAAAACTTGCTCCTCCTCCTCCTCGAATAGCCCAAAAGAGATCCTCTCCCATTGATTTTCTGTCGAGAACTCTTCCATTGACATCAACAATGTGAGCATCAAGAATATGGTCAGAAGATAGGCCATATTTTCTCAACATGGTACCAAACCCACCTCCACTGAAGTGCCCACCGACACCAACTGAGGGGCAAATTCCTGCTGGAAATCCATGGACAGGACTTTTCTCTGCAATCCTATAATACAATTCACCAACTGTTGCCCCAGTCTGAACCCAAGCACTGTTGTCTTCCAAGTCAACACTTATGGATCTTAGATTGAAGAGATCAAGAATCACAAAAGGGACATCAGATATGTAAGAAAGGCCTTCATAGTCATGGCCTCCACTTCTGATTCTGACTTGCAATCCATGTTTTTTGCAGCAAATCACTGTGGCCTGCACATGAGGGTATGCCAAAGGTGTGACTATAAAAAGTGGTTTTGGTGTTGTAGGAGAGGAGAACCTAAGGTTTTGAATAGGATTTTCAAGAAAAAATGGATAAGAAAAATCATTTGGAGTTAAAGCAACGTCGGAAAGTGAAATTTGTGGAGGGGAATGTAAAGAAAGACATTGAATGAAAGAATCATTGCTTGAAATACTGGAACATTTTGATGATGAGACAGAAAAGATTAAGAGAGAAAATATGCAGAAAAATCTTTTGACTAGCAAGTTCATTTTCATTTCTAGATGCAATAGATCATGGTTGATTTCTTTTTGGGGACACCGTTATATGTTGGTTTAGCTTATTAAAGAAACACCGACAAGATCTTATGTTTTGATACTCTAATGTCTGTGATTTATTAATAAATTGTTCAAAGTCTGATTAAATTACAGACAATAATTGGCAGCTGGTGGCTAGTTGACAATGATATAACGAGGGCCCTCCTCCCAGTTTCTGTCCAGTTTACAGACAATTCTTGACACAAAGGGATGGTGATAAACTAATATAAAATGTGTATCTATGCTATCCAACTCAAAAAATGTCTTTTATAAACGTTTAATAGACATTAAGGGGTTTTAAAAAAAGTTTTTCGATATGAGTATCCATTTTTTTTATCATATTAATATTTACTATTTTTTTTTTTTTTAAAATAAACATGTAGTGACCTGATTGTATAAAATTTATAAGGTAGAGACTAAATGTTTTTTTATGAAAACTTGGAAGAGCAAAAAAATTATAAATAAAGGATTAAATTGTAAAAAAATATTAATTTTAAGGACCAAAATAAAATTTTAAAAAATTATAAAAAATAAAATGAAATATTTTGATAAATTATTTTTAGTCCATATTAAATGGATATTAAATTGACATGTAAATCGGGTATGGAGTTTAAACAGTAATTTTTAAAATAGGTATGCATATGATATACCAAATATAATATTAATACCATTTATTTTTATCAGGACAGGTTAATGTAAAGTCAACAAGATTTTGATTGCTTACACTGTTTAACATGCATTATCAATTTCAGTATGGTCAATTGCTTCCCCAAATGGATTGCAGAAAAAAAAAAAGTTTACAAGAAAACTTATACTTCAAATAAACTATAAAAAAAAAAATTGGTCAGCAATGCCGGGATTTCTTTCTTAGAAAATTCCATTTATTCAATAACTTTGTCAAACTGGTTCAATCAAAATAAACGGCAATTGAACGAGTGAAAAACTATGATGATCTTGGCAATTTTTCATCTCAGGTGAAGTGGAAGAGGTGGGATGCTCTGCTCATGCCTGAAGAAGTTGTCTGGATCAACTTTGGCCTTAACTAATGCCAATCTGTAGAAGTTATCCTTGAAGTACTTAGTACCAAAACCACTTGCTTCAGTAAAGCTTGTGTTAGGCTTCTTGTTCATGCCCAAATCAAGATCCCTGTAATTGACATACGCTTCCCTTGGATTCTTGGAAACATAAGGTGTCATGTACTTGTATACTTCCCTAGTCCAAGCTATATGCTTTGCAACATTTTCTTTTGCATCTTGCCAACTGGCCGCGTACAGAATCATGAACTTGGTACCTTTTCTATGAGGGAATGGAATCTGTGATTCGGGAATTTCGCTCATCACTCCACCATAAGGAGTAAACACTACTACAGGATTCTCTTCTTCCAATAACTTCTCCCATAACCCTTCAAGTGCACTTTCAGATATGGGTTCTTTGGCATAGTCCGACTTGGCTTTGAAGTAGACACGGACCAGGTTCCTTCTAAGAAGTAAGACTTCAGGAGGAGTATTATTTGGGAAGCCAGCAAGATATACTGTAGAATTGATCCAGTTTGTTTGGATACAATCCTGTCGTGCCAAACCCAATTCAGGGAAGCCGCGTTTCATTATCTGGAGAAGTCTGTTGGCATCACCAAGAAACAAGGCATTGTAAGAAGTTGTAACAGTTCGTTTGCCTTCATTACTGACATTAGCTGTCAGAATGTTTACTCTGATGAAAAGATCCTTGTCAAGTTTATCAGCAATTTGTTGCCATCTGTATAGGAGCTTAGTTGCACCTTGTTCTAAGGTCTTGTTGACTGTAAAAACAGTCACAATTGATGGTACAAGAACCAATTTTACCTTCCAGGCAGTGACGATTCCAAAGCTGCCCCCAGCACCTCCTCTGATTGCCCAGAAAAGATCTTCGCCCATGGCTTTCCGGTCAAGAACTCGTCCGTGAACATCAACTATGTGAGCATCAATAACATTGTCTGCTCCTAGGCCATATCTCCTCAACATGGCACCATATGCACCTCCTGAAATGTGCCCACCCATACCTAAACTTGTGCAAGTACCAGCTGGGAAACCATGAGTTTTGCTTTTTTCAGAAATTCTATAGTAAAGTTCACCATTTGTGGCTCCCACCTGAACCCAGGCACTGTTATTCTCAACATCAACGCTAATAGAACGGAGCTTGGCAAGGTCTACAACTATGTATCTCTCAATTTTAGACACATACGAAAGTCCCTCATAGTCATGGCCTCCACTACGGACTCTGAGGTGAATTCCAAGCTTCTTTGAGCAAATAACGGCAGCTTGGATGTGAGATTCTTTCAAAGGAGTGAAGATAAACTCAGTTTTCGGTACTGAAGGCAACGTAAACCTGAGGTTTTGAGCAGAAGATTGTAAAATATTAGTGAATGAAGAGTTTTTTGGAGTATACAAGAGGGTGGAGAAAGAAAAGTATGATTCAGATTTTCTTGAGAGACATTTTAGAAACCTATTCTGAATTGGAAGTGAAACTACAAATGGAGATAGGAGTAGGACCAGAAGTATTGAAAGAATGCAAGAGCTTGAGCACACCATATTTGTCTTCTTTTCTTTCTTGCTTGACATGTTCAAGAATTTAGGTTTTAGAGAGTTTTCTTATA